TTGAGGCCGGAGGTTGAAGCACGTCCGTGCCTGCCGCTGCCGCGTGCGTGGCCTTGGGCTTTGACCAACCTTTACGTGAAAGAGCGAAGCGAGGGCTTGGCGAGGAGCGGCCGGTCTGAATCCGGCGCGGGTCGCGCATCCGGCGCGGGTCGCGCCGCCACCGCCGGCGTTTCTCCAGGACGGGTCGGGGACGTTGGGTCTGGCCGCTCGGCCACGCTGCGGGGGGGGTCTGACGGCAGTCATCTCCCCTTGGCAGACCGACTTCAAGACGGCCGACATGGATGCGAACACGGATCAGGATATCGAGAAGAACTTGGTGGGTATCGAAGCCCTGCGATCGGGTCCAGGCTCTGCCGCTCGCGCGCCCGTGCTGCTGCTCCCCGGGCAAAGGAGCTGGAGCACGGCTCTTCCCACAGGGAGTTTTTCTGTCCTTTACGTGCCAGCCTTGGCGTTCTTGAGCTGTCCTCTTTAAGGGAGGAAACGCGGTGCTAGCCGCAGCCGCAGGCAGTGCCTCCCGTCATCGTTTCTGATCTAGGGAGCCCGAGCTTGGAAAGTGGAAGCCGTTCGACTGTGGCTCTTGACAGTGGCACCTACCGGGCTCTGAGGCGCTGCAGAGCTTTCCTGCCCCTGTCCGCGCGCCCTTTAGCGTGCGGGAAGGGGAAGGTTCTCCCTAAATTTCCGCCCTCCGCTGCAGGACAAAATGATGTCCGAGAGGGCGTTGTTGAAGGAGCGCTACCAGGAGGTGTTGGACAAGCAGAGGCAAGTGGAGAACCAGCTGCAGGTACAGCTTAAGCAGCTCCAGCAGCGGAGGGAGGAAGAGATGAAGAACCACCAGGTATTTGGCGACGTCCCCTTTTCGTTTAACCTGCCCGTTAGCGCTGCCGCTCACGCGGTTAAGGTGGGCCGCGGAGGGGCGCGGCGGGGAGCAAAGCGGGCCGTGAGAAGCGGCGGTGGCACGCCGCGTGGCGGTTTCCCTTGCGTACCGCGCTATTTTACAGCGCTGAGGGCTGGCCCCTGCCCAAACGGGGGTGCTGAGCAGTTCAGAACTAATGCCTAACCCAGCATCCCGCATGCGCGTCCGCTCCTGCCAGGGATCTTGCAACGTCTCCTCAACAAGCGGGGCGTTTTTTCCGAATGAGAACGGGTGTGGAGTGAGGGGAATTAGCTCCGTGTGATTACTTAGGTCTCTGTGGCCGTCGCTCACAGATCGTGAGGTTAAACAGATCGTGATAGTGAGGTGGTTCACAACTGGCCCTACGGGTAACCGCTCCTCAAGACAAAAGGAGCCATCGGCGGCCCATCGGCCAGGTCTAAACCGGAGCAGAACTCCCTGCCGCTTGAAATCCTTCTAAAGAGAGAGGAGAACCCGCGGTTTAGACCGTCTGCCTGTCTCCTGGGTTCCCTCCTAACAGCTGCTGTGTATCTCGTCTGGAGCTACTAAAAAGAAAGATTTTGATGACGCGTGTAATCGCATAATCTCTCTTCGATTAACCTAAAATAATAATGGATTTAAAACCAAAACCGTTACTCGGGAATTTTGCTCTTTATTTGTGTGACGCTTGTTTTGCTCTAGGAGATCCTGAAAGCGATTCAGGATGTTACGATCAAGCGAGAAGAGACAAAGAAGAAGATGGAGAAAGAGAAGAAAGAATTCTTGCAGAAAGAGCAGGATCTGAAGGCAGAAATCGAGAAACTCTGTGAGAAAGGCAGAAGGTATTAGTATGCAAAAGCAAGCGGAGGGTTTTCTTGGGGGAAAAGGTGCAGCTTAACCCTGATGTGTACGTGAGGAAGCGAAAGAGGATCGCTTTAAACTTTTTGGAAGCAGCGAGCATTTTGGCGAGCAGCTCAGGCCAGACCTGTACGGTTTTGTCTGGATCTGCCACAGACGGAGCAGCTTGTCTCCGCAGAAGATCCCAACGTGAATTTTGGGGCGGCGGGTTGTCGCTTTGCCTGTTAGGTGTATGCGGGGACAGCACTTGGCAAGGATAACGCGCAGCTCAGCTCTGTCTGCTGCCGTCTCAGAATCCAGAGCCTTTCCGCGGGACTGCTGTGCTGCAAGTCAGCGCTAGGGGTAGGGCCTCGCTGGCCTTTTCAAGTTGTTCTCCTCAGAACTGCCCGTTTCGGTAGGCTGCTCGACTACGCCTTACACCGGGTGCTTTGAAAGACTGACTGCTGCTGTCAGGCTTTGCCGTCAGACAGGCCGCGTGCTCTGTGCAAAGGATCTCTCTAGATTCGGGGTGGGGGGGGGTGTTCTGACGCGAGCAAGGTGCGAGTTGTTTGTGAAGATCTGAAGGTTCCCTTGGATGGTGAATTTGCGCTTTTACAGAGCCGTTCTGTCATGTCGTAGCGGTCTGACTTTTGATTTTATCCCGAGGGCTCGGTGATGTTCTTGGATAAAGCTCCTTTAGTAATGGTTCCAAGTACTCGGCCCCTGTTTCACCCTGAGCGAAGGTGTTGTCAGAGCAGCACAGCTCCCCGTGGTGGATTCTGGTTCGATGCCACAGACTTTGTGCAGTACCGTGATACAGCAAGATTTTTGCCCTGGAGGATGTTAGTGGTTGCTTTCAAACATTTATCGAGCGGCGCAGTCTTCAGAGAGCGTTGTTACATCGGGCGCACAGCTGGGCCAATATGTTGCGTGAACTTGGGACCGGCGGCATTAGTGGCTGGGCGATAACACCTTCGCGGTAGGTGACTGCATCTGTCCTCCTTCTCTTGTGCAGGTTGCTGAAAGAGCAGGAGGAGAAGGAAAACAAGATAGCTTCTCTGATTGCAGAGCAGTCCGATGAAAAGTAAGGCTGTTACCTACTGCCGGATTAATGCCGTTGAATACTCTTTGTCCTTCCAGTCGTTTTGCCTCGGAGTGAATCCGCTGCTTCTGGTGGGGTGGGCTGGAGAGAGCGGTCTGACAGCGCTGTCCAGTTATGCGCTCTAAAGGTTTGATCTCCTCTCCCAGCAGGCTGGTGCCCCCGGCCTCTGGATTAAACCCTCTTTGATCCTGGTCACAAGCAGGCTCGTAGGCAGGCTTGTGACAGAAAGATCCCGTAAGATTAGGGTTTATGCTCGGTGGATCGACTCGGCTTGTAACTGCTACCTCTGACTGAATTTCAGCTTCCCAGACTTGGGGCAAACCTGTTTCTCTCTCTGTTCCCCGCAGCCGCCCAGGTGCCCTAAACTCTGGCACGCTCAGGTATTTTAAGGCTGGGCAGAGAAGCTCCAGATCCAGGCATAGATGCTCACGTAACCCGGGTGGGAAGGGCCAGCTCTAAGCTTCTCCAGGATCAGAACGGCTTCGTTCTGTGTGCTGCTTCAGGTCGCTTCCTGGTTCAGACCTGCGCACCTTTCCCTGGAGTTGGGCTGAATTTTGCCGGGGGGAACCCCCCTCTCCTCGTTTTGCCCGGCGTGGTTTGCACACCGGTTGTTTGCGTGCTCTGGAACAGCTCGCTCTTGGGACGGTGACTCATGCAGCCTTGGGAACTGTGGCTGCTGTCATAGTCTGGAAGCTGTCGATCCTCCACGGCTCCACCCCATCCAGAGCTACCAGGATCGATCGGTTTTGTGGGAGCTTGCCAGCTCTCCCGTGCCGCGCCGTTCCGGTGCCTAAGCCTAAGCGGGCTCGTTCTGTTTCTGTCTGCAGGCAGCTATGGGAGATGGAGCTAGATAAGCTGAAGAACCAGCACAATGAAATCAACAGGAACATTCTCGAGGAGACAGAACGGGCCTGGAAAGCGGAGGTCAGTAGGTGACTTCTTACCTGCGAAGCAGTTGTTGAAGAGAGTCTTTGTAAGATGCCAGGTCGTAATGAACGCTTGTGTGACGTTAGGAGCAGTTGAGGATGAGGCTAAGTCCCCCTCTCCGTGGGACAAGAGAAGGGAGAAGCAAATATCAGTGCAGTAAACATTAGTCGGGACTAAGTAGCTTGGCGCGGTGCTTCGTGAAGAGATTACGGTCGCGGCCTGGCAGCAAGAAACAAGGGAGTACAAAAACTGCTCTTCATGTGGGGCCTCTCTCTGCTAGATCCTGTCCCTGGAGAGCCGAAAGGAGCTGCTGGTGTTGAAACTAGAAGAAGCAGAAAAAGAAGCAGAGCTACACCTCACCTACCTCAAGTAAGTCCGTGTAGTCTCAGAAACGGCAGGGTAACTCAAGTGTCCCTACGTACCCGTCTCCTCTTCCTCTGCTTACGCTGGAGGTTGGACTGGAGCAGCTCAAGGTTTCCTGTGGCTTGCTTATTAAAATAACGCGATTCGGCGGTGTCCCAAAACAAGGGTTTGTGGGGCTGTGCTTCTTCCCTGTTGCTGTGCGTCTGCTGAACGTCGGCCGTGCCCTCGACAGAGTGCTGTGGGCAACGGCGTTGGCTGCGGTGTCCGTGTCTCTGTCCGCCAGATCAGTCGGCACGCTGGTAGCACCGCGCGCTCTCCTCTTGCGGGCTTCCTCGCCTGAGCCGTGAGCCCTCCTTCCCGCCCAGCCGGAGGAGGGGAGCCCCGACGGGGGAAGGCGGGAGGGCGTGGGGTGTTAGTCGCTCCCGCTTTGCTGCCGGTGAGAGCCCGGGCGCGAGTGGGAAAGTTTGGTCGTGCTTGCAGGTCTGCGCCGCCCACGCTGGAGACGATGAGGCCAAAGCGGGAGTGGGAGATGAGGCTGAACAGGATACGAATGACCAAGGAAAGCGTCCGAGTAAGTTCCTGCCGAACGGCTCCCCGCCGAGCAGCGAGCGGTTCTTCGCACCGAGGCTGCTCTGCCTGCCTAGTTTCAACCCTCTTTGGGAGAGGACCAACACCCAGAAAACGCTGTGTGTCCAAGAGCGTGGCACAGTCCGTCCGCCTTCGCGAGAGATCTTCTGCCCGCCTCTTCAGGCTCGTGCGCGCGGATAAGCCACGTGGAGATGAAAGCAGTGTGTCGGGTTCATCGCAGAGGCGGTTACTCTGTCTCTCCCCCCGGGTCCTTTTTCGTTCTCTTGACTCCTGTGGAACCAAACCGTGTCTGCTCTAGGGCCCGCAGCTGTTCCGGGGCTGAGAGTGCTCTGCCCAGGCAGGGGAATCTGCCTGCTCTAGGCACGCAGCGCCCAAAACTTCCTCGGGCAGAGGCTTCGGTAAACGCGTCTTTGCTTTCCTCTCTGCTAGGATCAGTTCAACGACCACATTCAGATGGTGAGAAACGGGACAAAGCTGAGCAGCCTCCCACAGATCCCAACCCCGACGCTGCCGCCTCCACCCTCAGAAGTGAGTGCCTCTCCAGCCTAACAAACGCAAGCTTTCGCTGCCGGGAAGCTGCCGTGAGGCTCTGGGGACAGCCTGCCCGCTGGCCCCTAACTGGCACTGCCTGTGCCGCGGGCGTTGAAGGAGGCTGCGTAGGGATTGCGTTTTCTGGAGTCCCGTGCTTGTCCCCTGTCTGTTTGGGCTTACCTGCTGGCCCCGGTGAGGAGGGGAAGGGTCTCCCTCCCTTGCCGCGGGGAGCGTAGCTGCCGGTGCCCGCGGTTCAGCCCGCCTCCTGTCCGGCTGGGGAGGAAGGCGCTCAGCTCTGCTTTCAGATGGGCTTATTCTAACCAGCCTTTTCTTCTCCCCTTGTTTTTCTTTCTCAGATAGATCTCATGCTGACGGCATTCCAGCCCAACCCCTCCCTTACGCCCAGGCTCCCCTTTCCCATCGGACCAGTTCCCGTTCCCATGGTCATGCCGAGTGCTGATCCCCGGGCACTCTCCTTTCCTCTCCTGAACCCTGCGATCTCCAGGCCCAACCAGCCTTCCCCGCCGCTGCCCGCTTCCCAGGGAAGAAACAGCCCTGTAGTGGCATCGCTTATTGGCACGCACAGCCCTCACATGACTCCCGCTGCCTCCATCCCTCCTCCGCCAGGCCTGGGAGGAGTTAACGTCACTCCAGAGTTTCACAGGCTGCAGCCGGCCGATAAGCTGGAAAAGCTGCTGGAGAAGTTGTTGACTCGGTTTCCACAGTGCAACAAGTAAGCGTCTTGCGTTGTCCTTCCCGGAGGGTGAAGACTTGCGTGCGGGTAAGGGGAAGCGGAGCTCCTCTCGGCGCTTGCGGGGTCTGGAGGAAGTGAGGGAAGCCCGAAGGCGAGGAGCAAAGGCTGGGCGCTCTCTGCCAGGTTTGCCGTAGCACTGGGAGTGAGAAACGTTTGGAGCTTTGTCTAAAGGACAGCGGTGATGCCTGGGCGCAGCCGAGAGCACCCTACGGGCAGCACTGCCTCAGGCGAGCCCTTCAGCCTCCGCGGTGCTGGCTGCGCGACAGGTGGGCGCTGTCTCTCGCTCCAGCTGGGGCTTCCCACTCTTTCCCCAGCATTTTGGGGACGGAAGCTCGCTCGGCGTGCGATTCGCCTCATTCAGACGGCAGGCGGTTGAGAGCGCACGCTCCTTTGCCGTGATAGGGGCTTCCCCCGGGGCTGGGGTGGCTGCCTCGCCTGGAGCAGTGTTGCAGGGCCTTGTGAGGGAGGGTCCCCGTTCGTGGGGGCCGCTCGGCTCGCCGCCGCCGGCCGGGGGCCCTTAGCAGGCTGCTGTCCCTGCAGGGCCCAGCTCACCAACATACTGCAGCAGATCAAGACCGCTCGGAGGACCATGGCGGGTCTGACCATGGAGGAGCTGAACCAGCTGGTGGCGGCCAAGCTGGCGGAGCAGCAGGAGCGGGCAGCGGCCGGGGCTCAGGTGGGAGAGCGGCGGGGGGCTGGCGGGGGCCCGCCGGCCTCCTCGCGGGGGGGCTGCTGGGAAGGGGAGCCTGGGTAGCGGTGAGCGGTGAGAAGCCGCGCCTGCTCCCTGGTTCCCTGCAGACTGAGCCGCACGGGGCCCGCTGCCGGGACCGCACAGAGCTCGGGCTTGGGCTGTGCGTCAGGCGTGTGTCCCCGGGGTTCCCCTTCCTGCCGACGGCGGCGTAGCTCTCGGGAGCCATTTTTCCCCCGAGGTGGCTTGGGGTAACTGGGCTGTCCTTTCCTTCCGGGCTTTTCTGATGCGCCTCGTTTGCCTCGCTGCAGCCTCTCGGTCGAATCAGGGCCCCCATGTTCTCTGCTCCGCTGCCTCAGATCAGCACGCCCATGTTCCTGCCCCCAGCCCAGGTGGCTTACCCTGGAACAGCGTCACACGTAAGACACTTTGGCTTGCCTGGAGCGCTTCGCCGTCCCCGGGGAAAGCGGAGGGAGGGAGCCCTTTGAGAGTTGGCCGAAAGGATGAGCCAGTGAAGCTGGGACCTCTCTCCTCACCCAGCCGCTCGGGCTGCTGAGGTAGAAGGGGAGGGTTAGGGGCATGGATCCGTTGTGCTTCGCATCGGGGAAGAGGGCAACGGCCGCAGGAGAGGGGTCAGAGGCTCTAACGTCGTGTGATGGCTGTGTGCAGAGGGAGGAATTGGGCAAACTGCGGGCCCTGGCTGCAGCCGGCAGGACGAGTAGCTGGAGTGTGGGATACGTGATCTGAGCTGGGGTCTCTGACTTCCGTGCCTGTCTCCTTTCTGTCCCCTTGCTGCTCGTCCCAGACCCCGGCTGCCTGTAAGCTGTGTCTAATGTGCCAGAAGCTTGTGCAGCCTGGTGACCTTCACCCCATGGCCTGCTCGCACGTGCTGCACAAGGAGGTGAGTGTGCTTCCCTGCTGCGCGCTGCTCTTGGGTTCCTCGTAGCCGTTCCTGGTGCCGACTCCCTTCCGGGGGCCCTGGGCACGTGTAGCGAGTCCCTGCTGTCCCGAGATCTTGCCAGGAGAGGGGTGTGATCAGTAAACAACTTCTCTGCGTCCCGTCACACCCCCCCCCCTTTCCATACTCTTAGCTGGGCCACCCTGAGTGGCCATTTGGTGGCGGCTTTAGGAACAGGCTGTCCTGGTTCCTGCCCCCGAGCCTGTGCTCGTTGCTAGGAGGGTTAGATCCTGGCCTTTTGCCTCCCTGGAGCAGGACGGTCTGGGAGGATCTAGAATACAGGGCGATGGAGAGAGCTGCCACCGTCGCCCAGGTGTCTGGGCACTGTGGGTCCGTGCGCAGGAGCTCTTGGGAAGAGGAGGAGACTTTCTCATCCCGCAGTGCTGGCAGTGGTTCACCTGTGTAGGCAAAGCCCTCATCCCAGTGGCTCTGGGGCCTCCAGCAACTGCCGAGGAAATGGAAAACCATGTATTGAGGAGGGGCTGATGATCCTGCTAGGTTGAAGAGGGCTCCCTCCGCCTGGCGACCTTTTGATGGAGGCTGTCTCTAAGGAGCAAAAGAGACCATCCCTTAAAATGAGCGCCCTTGCCAGCACCGATCTGGAAAAGTAATGCCACGCTGTTCACAGCGCCTTTGAGTTGTGCCAGTGGCTCTTGACTAATTCTCTCTCTTCCAGTGCATCAAATTCTGGGCACAAACCAACACAAATGACACTTGCCCCTTTTGTCCAAGTCTCAAATGACGGCTACCCGAACAAAGCGGTCCCCCGGGAGGAGTTGCTGTGAATAGACAGGATCAGTTCTAAGATTTCTACAGTTCTATATTTATACGACCATGTATACACATGTACATTTTTATTATATAGGTAATGTGTGTATAGAAAGTCTGTATACATACAAATTCATAAATAAAGTGTGTATATTATGCAGTGATTTGGTGCTGCTCCTTCTGTCTTAGTTCGCAGCCTTGCTGGCCTCCCTTTTGAAGGAGCCGCTTGCCGGGACTCCAGCGGCCGCTGTAACTACCTCTTCCCGCTTAGCTTCCGGCAGCTCCTTCTCCGGGGCCGGCGCTCCCAGCAGCTCCGTGCTTGCCGCAAGCCATTCCCCTTGGCGGGACGCCCCCTGCCCCAGCGGACGGGGCCCCTGCCGCGTCCATCCGGTGCTGGGGGTGCTCGCCCAGCACCTCCCCTCTTGGCAATGAACAGGTCGCAGCTGAAGAGCATGTTTTGTGGTCCTTTTTTTAATGTAGTAATAATTTACCGTGTTAACATTCATTGTTCTTACATAGACAGTAGGTTACAGAGTACTGGAGTCTGCAGCGACAGCCTGCGGTAACCGTCCCCGTCCCCCTCCTGCGGGGCAGAGTTCCGCACGCGCCTTTACCTGCTGTTCCCCGCTGTAACTCTGGGCCCCGGGGAGGGAGCGCTCGGGAGCGAACGGATTCGGCTGTGCTGCAGCTCAGGATAACCAACCTGTTGCAGTTCCTAGTTTCCCCTCTCCTGGACTTTCTCCTAAAGCACGGGCTGACGCACCAACCCTTTCTCCATGGATTTCGGTGGGATTACGAGGTGCTCAGCACCACTTAAAATCTTGCACTCGCTCTGTAGAATTTTTTCCCCCTTACTGGCCGTCTGTGGCACAAATTCAGCACCGCTGGAGGCACCTACGCCTCAGGGTTGGCCCGTGCAAGCGCTGCCTGGGTGCAGCCTGCCTGAATTTGGCCACAGTCCGTATCTTTCTACACGCACACGCTTGCCAGCGCGTGTTAAGGCAGTGGTCCGCAACAGAGTCTCTGGGCTCCTGGGGGGGGGGGTGTCCTGGGCAGGCGTGAGGGCGTGGAGGTCTGTGCGCGCTCTGCAATTGCGTAACGTTGCCCTCTCGCGCCGGAGCGGAATCGCTGGATGCTTGCAGGTTTGGAGCAAGGCATGGGAACCGGACGCGCCTTGCGAGCGCGCTAGTGGTGAAGTGGGACAGTTCAGGGGTGCGTGTCATGGGCTGTCGTGGCGGGGGGCGGGGGGCCGGCTCGCTCGCCTACGCTGCCTGCGTTTCCTCCTCCCGCCTCGCGCGCTGGCTCCCTCGCTGCTTTTTCAAAGAAATATTTAACTGCGGGACCGAGTGAACAAGCCTCGTGCTTGGCGATTCCCGCAGCCCTGCAGCGCTCCAGCCCCTAGCCCCTGTCCCCGCCTGAACTGGTGGCTCGGCGCTCGCGCGTGCCTCCGCTGGGCAGCTGCCAGCTCGGCCCTGGCACCGCGGGGAGCCCCGCCTTTTGCTGACGGAGGAACGTTGCCTTTTACTTAGTGAATCTCGGTCTTTAAAACAAAGCACTTCCCTGTCCAGGTTGGAGGCAGAGGAGCAAGGGAATACAGCGTTATCAACCGCCTGCAAGCTCCAGGGCGCCTGCCCCGGGGAAGGGAGATGGTGAGCCTGCAGCGGCCCCCCTCTCCCTGGGGCAGGGCGAGCTGCGGCGAGCGGGGAGAAGGGGAGGGTTGTCCTTACGCACCGGAAAAATCCTCCCTTTGCTGTACGAACACGATGAGGACAAAAGTGCCCCCTGCGCTCGCTGGGCTTTCGGCCTGCGAACCACCGCGCTGCCTGCTCCAGCCCTGCCCTCCTCCTGCCTCCCCCCACTGCTGTCAGCACCTCCTCTGAAACCAACTCGGCCCCCCCCCCCTCCCCGGATCAAAAAGA